GCGCGCTGGCGTGCAGCGCGGCGATCCCGTGGCAGGAGAGCAGCTCCAGGGGGCCTCCGGCCTCGCGAGGCCGCGTGCAAGGCCTCGGCGAGTTCTGCGCGCTGCGTGGTCTGGGCCACGCTGGGCCCGCAGCGGATCGGTGGTGTGCTCGCAAGCGCCGTCGCTCCGAGCCCGCACCCGGGCCTGCCTGGGGCCGACCGCCGGGGGCGGCAGCGCGGGCGGCGGCACTTGCTGCCAGGCTTGCGCGGCAAGCGCGGCCAGGCGCGCCTTCGAGGGCAGCGCTCCAGAGAGCGCGACCCCCGCGGGCAGGCGCGCCAGCAGGGCGGCCTCGCTCAGGCCGCCAGCCCGCAGCTCGGCGCGGCGGACCGCGCCCCACCGGGGACACTTCCGAGAGCGATGCCCGCGCGTCAACGAGACCCCGCAGCGCGGGCAGCGCGACGGCCGGCCCCCCTTCGCGGCCGCCGTCTCGGCCACGCGCCGCCGGGCGGCCGCGAAGGGCCCCTGCTGGCGGGCGTGGCCGGCGTGCGTCTCGCCAGAGCTCGAGCGGCACGCGCCCGCGGCGCGGCGCCGCCGCCGCCTGCCACGCGCGGAGCGAGAGCAGCGGCCGCGGCAGGGTCGAGCACGCCAGCTCGGGCTGAGCCCGCCGAGGGCGATCTCAGAAGCAGCCCGCAGCCGGCCCCGGCAGACCGCCTGCCGCGCGGCAGATCGCAGGCTGGCCCAGTCGCGTTCGGGGACACTTCGGATCCTGAACCTTCTCCCTTCTCCTCCTCCTCCTCCTCCTCCTCCTCCTCCTCCTCCTCCCTCCTCCCTCCTCCCTCCTCCCTCCTCCCTCCTCCTCCTCCTCCTCCTCCTCCTCCTCCTCCTCCTCCTCCTCCTCCTCCTCCTCCTCCTCCTCCTCCCTTCTAGGAGTGGCAGCCACTTCACGGACGGAGGGCGGGCCGCTCTCAACATGTGGCCGCGCGGCAGATCGCAGGGGCCAGCGTGCCCGCCAGCGCGCGGCAGCCGCCGCGCCAAGCAGGCAGCGCCGCCGCAAACCCGCAGGCAGCGAGGCGATGCGGGAGAACCGCCCTGCTGGCAGCCGAGCCCGCGGCCGCGGCCACTGCGCCCTTGGGATCTGCGCGCGGAGCCATCGCCGAAGACTGGCGGCGTTCGCGAACTGGCGGTTCTTGTCCCTGTTGGGGCGCCCGTCCATGGCCGTCTCGAACACCGACGTCGGCCGAAGCGCGTCGCGCACCGCCTCGCCGACTACGGCCGCCTCCTGGCCGGGGCCGCGCGCCCAGAGAGCAAAGCCGTCAACGCGCACTCTCTGCCACGCGCGGCCGTTGAGCGCGCTGCAGCGCCGCTGCGCAGGCCGCGCGAGCACGCCGAGGAAGCAACGGCCACGTGGCATCCCGGCAGCACGCTGCCGGACGGCGCCCAAGGCTCGCCACGGGCCCTGCCGGCTCGGGCCCGCCGCCGCGCCGAGCAAGCGGCCCTCGCGGGATCCGCCGCCCACCGCAGCACTCCCGCCCGCTGCGCGGCGGCGAGCGGAGCGCGCGGAGGTCGACGCGGCCGCGCGTCTTGCGCCGGCCCAAGGCCGCTCCGGCGATGCTCTCCGCCAGGGCCTCCGCCGCCTCCAGCTCCAGGGCGAGCTCCGAGGCGAGCTCTTCGGCGCTTCGCCACGCGCCGGAACCACCCCAGCTCAGACCCCGCTGCGCGAACAAGCGAGCGCGGCCAGCCGCCCAGGAGCGGTAGAGTATCGGCAACAACCAGATGGGGCGCCGATCAGCGGCCCTGCACCGCCGTCTGGCTCAGTGGGCAGCAAGCCTGCCGGTTCCGCGAGTTCGTGGGGCCGCTGGCCAGTCGCTTCGACCTCCTCCAGGAAGACGGCGATCCAATCGCGCAGCTCCGCCAGGAGAAGGCAGAGCTCGCTCGCGCTGGCGGCCCACCCTCGGAGGAGGCGAGGAGGGTGGATAGCCCAGGGGCGGGCGCCCACCTTTGCGGGGCCCGGCAATGACGGAATTGTTTTGGGCGCCGGAGTGGAGGGGGCGCGGGATTTGAACGCGCGCGCGGCGCAAGTTTTGGATTGGCGCGGAGATGGCGCATCGAACGTCGCGGTAGCGACGGCGCTGACCAAATGCGGCGGCGCGCGCATCGAACGCGATTTCATTCGTGGCGCCCGTTGTCCTTGGTCGCGGCGTCCGTTGCGGCACGGAGATGGGGGCGCCCATTGCGGCGAGCGCAGTATCGCGCTCTGCGGGTATCGCGGTGCCAAAATAGATCGCGGCCGGGGGCGGCGGGGCAGCGTGGCCCTTTCCTAATGATGCCATGCTGGAGGAAAGGCGATGCCCGAGCGGCTGCGGGGGCACCTTGTCCAGGCGGGCCGCGCGTGAGGAGGGGCGCCAGGGTAGACGGAGCGCCGTGGGTGCAGCAGAAGCCAATACACGTATTCAGTTTAGCTTGTACGTACAGATTTTGCGTGATGAACATGAGTTTTCTGTTCCGATATCATGTATCCATTTCTGGCTACATATTTTCAGTCGGAATTACCTGTAGTGATTTTCCACTACATGGGGGAAACAAGAGTGCTCTTGTGGCCCGCTGGCGACGTGCCCTGCGATCGCGATGGTCGCGTGATCGCGAGGGAAGATGCCGCGAGGCTTTGTCGCCCCTGGCCAAAGTCACCTGGCGCCGCAACCCGCGCGAATCGCCTCCCCTCGCCGCAGTGCGTGCCCAGATCTCCTTCCCGCTTCTGGCATCCTGGCAAGGGGGTCGACGTCGGCCGTGGAATCGGGCTCGCGCCGCGCGCCGATGCATCTGGTTAGAACCGATGCGACCGCGACATTCGATGCGCCACATCGGCGCTATGTTAGACTTGCGCCGCGCGCCTGCTCGAGTCCTCCCCCCCCACTCCGGCGCCCGAAACAATGTTGCTATCGCCCAACCCCGAAAAGTGTAACGCCCGCCCCTGGGGTATCCACCCCACCCATTTCGTCTTCTGTGACACCCGTCGAGCCCCGGTTTCTTCCTCTGGGGCATGCGCCGCAGGAGCCCTGCAACGAGGTCGGCGGTCCACGGCGCCCTCCGCGGGAAGGGCGGCAGGTTGTCCAGCTCCTGCAGCCACTCCTCGCCGATCGCGACCCGCGGCTTTCGCTGCCACAGCTCCCGCCGCGGCCCTTCGAAGAATCGGAGCCGTACCGCGGGCTCGCCGCGAAGCGACAGCAGCCGCGGTCTGCTGCCCGCAGGCGCCCACGCCGCGCCAGCTGCCACGCCGGGGCGCGACGCGAGCGCCGCATCCAAAGTGCCCCCGCCGCGGATCCAACGGCAAAGCCTCCCCTGCCGGTTCGTCAAGCAGTCGTGGACCCACTGCCGCCCACTGGCACACGGCGACGCGCCCTCGCGGCAGCGCTGGCGCGTCGCCACTCCTCCTCCGCACGGGCCAGGAGGTCCGGCGGGGCCCCTGCAGCCACCGTGTCCCCCGTGAGGGCGTGCGACCAGGCGGCCTCGGCAGCCCTGGCGGTGCGCAGGGCCGCGAAGATGGAATGCGCGGCGCGTTGGGCCTCGTTTCCAGGGCGCTGCGAGGCTCGCCGGAAGCCGCGCAGCCGCCAGAGCCGGAGCAGCGCCGCATCCGCCGCGGCATCGGCCGCCTCGCTGTCGCCTCTGGCTGCGCGGGGGGAGGGCGACCCGCCTGCCGCGCCGCAGCCGCATGCGGGCGGTCAGGCCGCGCGGCCTGGCATCCGCGACGCACTACGAGCCGCTCCCGCATAGCCGCATGGAGCTGCTGCCAGGCAGACGGAAGGTCGTTGTGGTCAAGGGCGTGGTGACAGGCCTCCTGACAGCGGGCCGGCACAGAAGCGGTTCTCGCGCGAGCCGACTCTGCATGCAACCCCTCCGCAGCGCCGACATCCGAGGCCCTACTGTGCCGCGACCTGGAGCTCCACCAGCAGGGCTGCATGCGTGGCCAGCCCGAGGTCCCAGCGCAGCCCGACACAGGCCTCCAGACCCTGGGCCCCGGCGTTTGCCCAGACGCAGTCGATCCGCGACGGGCCCCGCGCGAGGGGGCACAGGTGGCGCCGCGGGCAGCAAGGAGGTCCTTCTAGCCCGCCACGCCCTAGAGACCCCCCATGCCGAAAGCGCTGGCGTCTCCCAGCCCGCTCAACCATGCCACACCCTCCAGCAGCAGGTCAGCTTTGCGCTCAAGTTCACGTGGTACGCCAGCATAGCCGCAGCAATTCACGGTGTGGATCGCGCAACGTTGGCCGAAGTAGACGGAGAGGTGCTGGTGCCTCCCGGGATGCCGCCCTGAGAGCCCCAGCATCGGCTCCGACCTGACCGAGCGGCGGCCAGTAGCTGGCAGCGGGCCGCACCCCCAGCTGCATGCCCCTCGCCCTGGCTGCGGGCGCGGCGGCCTCCGCCTCCGCAGCGGGCATGCGCGCCTCCTGCACGCACCAGGCGCCCGCGCCAGCGCCTAGCAACGCGCGCCAGCTCGCGCTCCAGCGAGGGGCGTTTGCCACGTGCACCGTGGCGGTCTCTGGCCACCCTCGCGGCGGGCCCGGGCCAGGGCGCCGCGCCTCGCCAGCCTTGACGCCCCTCCATGGGCCCAGCAGCCGGCGAACCAGGGAGGGCCGGAGAAAGCTGATGCGGGGCGCCCGGCGGCGGCAGCGCGGTCGAGACATTGGCACTATCAGGCGCCGCCAGGTGCCGCTGCGTCGAGGCGCGGGAGCTCGTCTCCTACACGTCCTCCCCCTCCTCCCCCTCCTCCTCCTCCTCCTCCTCCTCCTCCTCCTCCGCCTCCTCCTCATTGCCACCCTCCTCGCCCTCCTCCTCCTCCTCCTCCTCCTCCTCCTCCTCCTCCTCCTCCTCCTCCTCCTCCCTCTCGCCCACTCTTCATAATCCTCCTCCTCTCGTTCTTCTCGTCCTCCTCCTCTTTCCTCCTCCTCCTCCTCCTCCTCCTCCTCCTCCTCCTCCTCGTGTGTTCCTGTCCCTCCTCCTCCCCCCTCCTCCTTCCTCGCAGTGTGGAGGCTCGGCCCCGACAGCCGCCAAGCGTTATCATCTCCCGCGCCGCTGCCATCAACCAGAAGGCACGCGGGGCCGTTGCCACCCCACGGGGCAGGAGGAGGAGGAGGAGAGGAGGAGGGAGGAGGAGGAGGAGGAGGGGGGGAGGGGGAGGAGGAGGAGGAGGAGGAGGAGGAGGAGGAGGAGGAGGAGGAGGAGGAGGAGGAGGAGGAGGAGGAGGAGGAGGAGGAGGAGGAGGAGAAGGAGGAGGAGGAGGAGGAGGAGGAGGAGGAGGACGAGGAGGACGAGGAGGACGAGGATGAAAGCATTGGATGATGGAGGTCACGTTTTGCCGTCGATGTGTTTTGCGCGCGCGTTTGTGTGTGTGTGCTTCTTCAATGGGGGCTTGAATGCCGCAGGAGATATGAGATGTTGTGGACAGTCTGAACATCCGCTAAGGGGGGGAGCACCTATCAGGGGGGGGGGCGGCCATTTTCCTATTTGCTCTGCGGTTGTCTGTGGTCTTCGCTTGCTTGCGCCCCTTTTCTCGCTGCCCCTGCCCCTGCCCTTGCCGCCGTCCACTCCCCGCACCTGACATGAGCTTTGTTGTGGTCTGCGTCGCCCGGGACTCCGACTTCGGCCGAGGGGGGCATCCGTCACGTCCCCTGTAGACGGGGGCCCCTCGGCGCGTGCGCCGCGCCTTGGCGCGCCGCTCCGTCCCGGTGGACGGCTGAGGGGGTTGGCCGCGGGCTGGCGTCGTCGCCTGCCGACTCGCTCCTTCTCGGGTTCGCTCTCATCGCCCATGGCTTATTGCTCATGATGAGCGATTCGCTCCTCTTCCTCCTCCTCCTCCTCCTCCCCCTCCTCCTCCTCCTCTTCCTCCTCCATCCCAGTCGGCGCTACAGGCTCAGAAAGGACCATCCGACGGAGCCAAGAGCGGCAAACGCACACGTCGGCACAGACCAGGGTTCCCTCCAGGTTAGAATGTGGCCAGGAGGAGGAGGAGGAGGAGGAGGAGGAGGAGGAGGAGGAGGAGGAGGAGGAGGAGGGAGGAGGAGGAGGAGGTGGAGGAGGAGAAGGGAGCCTGCAGCGCCGCGGAATGTAGGACCGAGCCGACCAGCAGAAGGCATGCGCGCAGCTTCTTACAACCCATACGCAGCGAGCAGTATAAATCGCTTAGAGGACACCTGTGCGGCCTTCAAGGATAGGGGTATTGTTGTACTGGGTAGACGGCAGGACCGGTGTCGGCGCGATCATTTTCACCAAGACAACAGCGGCTTGCTGCTGGTGACAGGGCGGGCTGGGCGAGGGGGTCCCCGAAGATTTCCTTACCGCGTATGATCCAACGGCTTGGAGTTCCCATCGGTTGCACGGATGGAAGAGTTTTTTCCGCAGTGGGTCAATCATCTCAGCGCCGCGTGCATTCGCGGCGAGGAGGTGCAAGCGAAAAGGATGGATGTGGTCTTCAGGATGGGGATCGCGCCTGGGCGTGGCGTGCATGCGTTCCAAGAGCCTGCAACGACTGCATGTATGGACGTGGGGGTAGTACGGGGTTGTCGCCCTCACGCTTCGCGCGCTCATTTACAAAACTTGCAACAAGCACAAGGAAGGGATTCGACGTACATTCAAAGCTTGCAGCACATGTAAGGATCGAGGGCGGCTCATGTTTCAAAACGGTGCCCTCGCTTTAGCGCGGTGCACGTTCGTCCCTCGCAACTAGTAGCATCTACAAGGTTGGAGGGCGGTCAGTTTTGTTCTCAAATTGTGGCTTCCGCCCTCGCGCCACGCACATTCGTTTTAAATTTGCGCGGCAATTGCACGGATGCAGGGCGGTTCCTTGTCAAAGTGTTGCTCTCGCTTGGGGCGTCGTTACAATCACTGGCTAACGGCTGCAACATGTGAAACAAGTGCACGTGCTCAAAGCGTTTGTGTGGTTGGGGTTGTCGATTTCGACGTTCAGGCCGCAGAAGTTTAATAACTTTTGGTGTAAACTTGTGTATACGTTGCGAGGCCGGTGGGGTGAAGTCCCTTGTTTACATAAAGAATGGGGCCATCGTTGGACACGCTGCTGTCGGATCCTAGCTTTTCGCAGCTCTTGCAACTCACTCGAAGGATGCAAAGCAGTTCCCTTTCCAATCGGGGCTCTCGCGCGGCATATGTGTTTGCTGTGAACGTAAGCAGCATCGTCGTTTGCTAAGTGTTCGATTGTTTCATATATTCTGTTCGTTCGCGTACGGTACGGTACTCAGACAGGTCAGGTCGGTCACGCAGTGGGCTCGTCATCATATATGGGCACGGTCGGAAGTGCGTTGGGAAGGCTCAACTTGTTCCTCCACCTCCTTTCCACCACTAGCACCAGTCTCACCATCATCCTCCGCATCCTCTTTTTCTCTCCCTATTCGTTCTTCCTCCAACCGGCCATGTTATCGGCCAGGCACTTGGGGACCGCTTCCCCCATGGCATGAAAGCAGGACGAAGGAAAAGGGGGGGGAGAAGGAGGGAGTTGGAGAAGGTTGTGCGTTGTGATATTGCGTCGCTCTGTGCGGTAAGCGTGGTTTGTTTTCATGGATCGGCGTTGACGATGCGTGACTTGATGTATTATTCGGCGCGCCGACATTACTAAATGGGTTGGACACATGATGATGATGATGATGATGATGATGATGATGCTGATGATGATGATGATGATGATGATGACGATGACGATGACGATGATGATGATGATGATGATGATGATGATGATGATGATGATGATGATGATGATGGTGATGGTGATGGTGATGGTGATGGTGATGGCGATCATGATGAGGAAGAGGAGGAAGAGGATGCAAATGAGGATTCGGATGGGAATGAGTATGATGATGAGGATGAGGAGGAGGACGACGATGATTATAATGCTGATGATGTTGACAATGATGATGATGATGATGATGATGCTGATGATGATGATGATGATGATGATGGTGGTGGTGGTGGTGGTGGTGGTGGTGATGATGATGATGATGATGATGACGATGACGATGACGATGACGATGACGATGACGATCAAAATCACAATCACGATCACGATGACGGTGATGACGATGGCGATGACGATGATCGTCGGCGGCGACCTGCCAGACGACGCTTGGGAACAAGCCACCACTGGAGCCTTCTGGGGCGGCCTCGGCCTACGCACCGCGGAGCGCGTGTCCACGGCCGCGTTCCTCGCCAGCCGCGTGAGCTCCCGCCCGCACGTCCGCGAGATGGCCGAGCACCTTGCCCTGGCCGGCCTGTGCACCGCGGCTGCGGTCATGGGGGCCCGCGACAGGCGCACGGAGGAGGCCGCGGTCACGGTGATGGGGTTCCTCCCTCCGACCTCCGGAAGGCAGCTCCTGGAATTCCTCGCAGACGCGGCCGACCAGTGCGAGGAACGGTGGGTCGGCCTCTTCGACGCTGGCGCACCCGCCAATGACGGCGCTCCCAGACGGAACGGCCGGCCCCAGCGCATGGGCAGGGGCATCGTCCCCCTCGACGAGGACGAGGACGACGAGCACCCGGCTGCTGCTGCCCCCCGCGGCCGCGCCCACCTCCAGAGGGCCACCCTGGCCCGCCTCGACACGCAGGCGCGTCTGGAGCTTCGCGAGCGCCACGCGCAGGCGGGCAACAACCCGGCGCCGCGCCGCTTGGAGGACTTCAGCCACCCCGACACCAACCACGAGCGGTTCCTGGGCTCTGAGCCGGCACAAAGGGCCCCTCCTCGACCAGCAGGACTTCGCGTGGAGGGGTTCCGCCTGCGCCTCGGCGCCGCCGGCCCCAGCGAGCCCACCCCTGCAACCTCTGCAGCACGGAGCTGCTCGACTCCGCGGGCTCGCGCGCGCTCTGCTGCAGGGGAGCCGAGGCTACGAAGGGCCACCACGTGCTTGCACGGCATGTGTACGAGGCTGCGAACAGCTGCGACCCCGCCACCGAGCTCGAGGCGCAGAACCTCATCCCGGGCACCCGCCTGCGGCCCGCGAGCGTGCTCACGGGGGCGCTGGGGCACGGGCTCATTGCGTTCGACATCGGGATCGCCTCTCCCGACGCGTGCGACGCTGGCCCGGATTGCGTCTCCAGCATGTACGAGCGCAAGACGGCGTACTACGCCCCCTACAGCGATGTTCTGGACCGCCAGAACATCCTGTACCAGCCCTTAGTTTGGTCAGCCCACGGGCGGCCCCACCCCCGGACGACGACATCCATCCCCCGCACACTCGCGACCCGCCTTGCCCGGCGGAGGGGATGCTCGGACGGGGCGTGGCGGCACCGCCGCTTGGCCAGCGCGGCTAGCGTGGCGCTGTGCCGGCGGGCGGCCGCCCACGTCAGGGCCTACTTGCCGGCGGGGGTGACGATTAAGGGCGCCAGCCAGCCCACCCCCGCCGGCGCGGGTTTCCCCCCTCCTCCCGCCTCCGTCCGCCCCTACCCCATCACTCGCGCTGAACCAGCGGGGTCGGGTGGCTCACACCCGTTGCTTGCCTGGCTGCTTGCTGCCCTCCCCTTTTCCCCCTTGTCTGCTCCTCCCTGTCCTCTTCCTCTTGGGGGCCCGGAGGCCGAGTGCTGGCGCGAAGTGTCCGGCCGTGCGCCCGTGCAGGCGCGGGCGCTGCAGTCCTTCCTCCTCGTCCTCCTCCTCCTCCTCCTCCTCCTCTTCCTCCTCCCCCCCCTCCTCCTCTTCCTGTTTTTTTTTTTTCCAGCCGCGTTTTTAGCGTTTATGCGAGTGTTGTTTTTGCACGCTGCTCCTCCATAGTTAGCGCGGGCCCCCCTCCACGGACAGGCGGCCGCTGGTCAGCACGAGGTTTGCGACGGCCCAGGACTGTCGCTGAGCGTGCCCTCCCCTCCTTCTTTCCCTCGTCCTCGTCGTCCTCCTTCTTCCTTTTTCCGCTCCTTCCCCCTCGTGCCGCCCTCGTCTCACGATTTTTGGCGGCATTGCGAATGGCTCACTTGCTTGGGTCAGGGGCGCTCGCCCGCAAGCTTGTGAGTTTTTTGACGAGGGGGCTCTGCCGTGTGGCCCTCCACCTTTGCACGTGTTTTGTCTCTGCTGGCCTCCTCGCTGTTTTCCGGTCCTGAGGGAAACAGGTCCTCTCTCTGTTGTTGCTGCCCTCGCCTGGCAGAACTCGGCATCCCTCCATTGTTTCGGCGCACTTCCTCGCCTATCTGATGTTCGCAAGTGTTATTTTACCTCTCATGTTTATGCCATCGCTGCACCGATATGCCGCGTGCAATCGAAGTGCAAACATGCATCGGGAGGAGAAATGATGATGAGAATGTTGAGGATGATGGGAATGAGGATGATGCTGCTGCTGATGATGATGGTTGTGGTGAAGGTGATGGTGGTGGTGATGGTGGTGATGATGATGGTGATGGTGATGGTGATGGAAGGTGATACTGGTGAGGAAGATGATGATGCTGATGGCAGTGATGATGATGATGATGGCAATGATGCTGATTGCGACGCCGATGATGATGACGACGCCGATGGTGATGCTGCTGATAATGATGATGAAGATGATAATGATGGGTGGTGTCGATCGTGATGGCGATGATGATGGTAATGATGATGATTATGATGATGCTGATGACGATAGCGATGACGATGACGATGACGGTGAATCTGTTTTTGATCATGATGATGATGGTGTTGGTTGTGTCGATGATGATGTTGATGATGATGGTGATGATGAGTGTGAATGTGATGGTGATGTAGCTTCTGATGGTGATGGTGATTGTGATGTTGCTGTTGTTGTGGTTGGTAATGCTGGTGACGGTGACGACCGTGATGATGATGAGGATGGCGCCGATGATGGTAATGTTGTTGATGATGACGGTGCTTGTGATGATACTGATGATGACGATGATGATGTTGATGATGATGATGGAGCTGATGGTGAGTGTGATGATGATGGTGATTGATGATGATGATGATGATGATGATGGTGATGGTGATGGTGATGGTGATGGTGATGGTGATGGCGATCATGATGAGGAAGAGGGGGAAGAGGATGCGAATGAGGATTCGGATGGGAATGAGCATGATGATGAGGATGAGGAGGAGGAGGACGACGATGAGTCTGATGATGATGATGGTGACGATGATGATGATGATGATGATGATGATGATGATGATGATGATGATGATGATGATGGTGACGATGATGATGATACTGGTGATGGTGAGGATGAGGAGGGGGATGACGACGACGACTGTGATGATGATGATGATGATGATAATGATGATGGTGATGGTGATGGTGATGGTGATGGTGATGCTGATGCTGCTGATGATGATGATGATGATGATGATGATGCGGATAATGATGATAATGATGATAGTGATGATGATTAGAAGGGAGGAGGTGGAAAAGGAGGAGGATGAGGATGATGATGATGATGATGAGGACGATGATGATGATGATGATGATGATGATGATGATGATGATGATGATGATGATGATGATGATGATGATGGTGGTGGTGGTGGTGATGATGCTGATGAAGATGATTATGATGATGATCAGGAGGGGCCGGCGGAGATTGTTCTGAACCAGCGAATATTTGGGGTCTCTAGGCTGATTTCGTTCTGGAAATGGTTCGGGTTATGTAGTCTTCGCTGATATCTCCCTGCCGGCAACATCCAACGTCCAAGAGAGGCCCATCCAAGTGCTTAGCAGAGTTTGTGCCATTACCGCCCCTGCTCCAGACGGAGCTCACACTCCTTCCCTCGATTCGCCGCTTTTGCAGAGTCGTACCGCCATGGCTGTGGGCCTGGCGTGGGTGATCGTCAACATGCAGGGCGCCTTTTTGGGGGGGATGGATGGGCAGGCGGAGGAAACGCAGAATTGTTTTGTTGCGTTGTGCTCGGAAGGACCAATGATGGTTCTGGCAATGATAATGGCGACGACCAAGGTGGCGATGTCTGCGATTTCGTATGATGATGTCGAGGGACTACGAGGGGCAGAAGCAGGACGCCGCGGAATAGGTGGAGGTACACAGGGAGGACGAGGAATGGGAACAGGAGGAAGAGAGGAACGGGGAGGAGGAGCTGGAGGAGGAGGAGGAGGACACGGTTGACGAGGCGAGGGTGGTTCAGGAGCTGGGCGAGGAGGACAAGAGGAGGGAGGGACGGGCGGGATCGAAGAGGGCGGAACACGGTGCGTTTGGGCATCGGCCGTGGCGAGCGGCCGTTTTTGCGAGGTCATTCAGGCCGCTGAGTCGGGCCAGGTCTGCGCCCTGCTCGCCACCATAGAGGCGCCACGGGAGGAGGGGGAGGAGGAGGAGTCGGGAGCCTTGAGACGGGGGTCAATGCAAACGGGGATCAGCCAGGGCGCCAGATCTTGCAGGATCCTGCAGTGCCAGGGTCGCATTGACCCGGGTTTGGGTGCAGGATCCTGCAGGATCTTGCAGGACCCCTCGCATTGACCCGGGTTTGGGTGCAGGATCTTGCAGGATCTTGTAGGATTCTGCAAGGCTTGACTGACCCGGGTCTGGATTGACCCGGGTCAGAATGTCCCCGAAGGAGGCGAAGGCGAGGAGGAGGAGGAGGAGGAGGAAGAGAGTAAGGACGAGGAGGAGGAGGAGGAGGAAAGTGAGTTCCCTTCTCTTCTATGCAGGCCCTGCTCCCTGCTAGGAGGAGGAGGAGGAGGACGCCAACGGAAGGAGTTGGAGTCCCCTGCTATTCCCTCGTCAGGGAGCACCGAAAACAATTCAGTGCTTCGCGCGTAGTTGGACCGGGGAGCCTTAGGAGGAGCAGGGGCAGGGGAGGATGTAAGGGAAAGTGAGAGGAGGCAGATACATGTGGGAGGTGATAAAGGAAGGAGGAGGAGGACGACGACGACGAAGATGACGAGGAGGAGGAACAACAGACAGGTACCCATCTTCTCCACCCTCTTGTAACTTCCCTCCCCTCCTTGCTCGGTCCTTCTTGTATCCCCTCCTTCGTCCTTCTTACCGTTCTCTGTCCCTCTCTCTCCCCCCCTCCCCCTTCCCCCCGACGACGACCAAGACGACGTTCTCGACGTCGGCGACTACAACGACGATCCCAACGCGACGACCCAAGACCTTGACGACGACGACAACGACGACGACGACGACGACGACGACGACGACGACGACGACGACGACGGCCAAGGCGACGACGACGACGACGACGACGACGACGACGACGACCCCTACGGGGCGAGCCGCGGCCGTCGCAGGGAGGAGGAGGCGGCGGCGGAGGAGGAGGACGCCCACAACCGTGCGGGGTACGACCGCATTCGGCAGGCGCGAAGAGAAAGGAGAGAAGCACACGGCGAGCCAGGAGGGGGGGAAAAGGGCAAACGAGGGAGGAGGAGGAGGAGGCGGAGGAGGAGGAGGAGGAGGAGGAGAAGGAGGGAGGAGGAGGAGGAGGAGGAGGAAGAGAGGAGGAGGGGGAGGGAGGAGGAGGAGGAGGAGGAGGAAGAGAGGAAGGAGGGGGAGGAGGAGGAGGAGGAGAGGAGGGAGGAGGAGGAGGTCCTCCTCCTCGGGCTCCTCACCCGTCGCCCGCCGCGCCTCCACCCCCCGCCCCAGGGCCTCCGCCTCGCGGCGGGTGCCGAGGAGCGCGAGGCCGCAGGAGCCTCGCGCGCGCAGGGCCCGGCGGCCTCCCAGATGCTCGGGGGGCATCTGGAGGCCCTGGGACCAGGCGAGGAACAAGAGGGCCTCGCGGCGGGTGCCGAGGAGCGCGAGGCCGCGGGAGCCTCGCGCGCGCAGGGCCTGGCGGCCTCCCAGAGGCTCGGGGGGCCTCTGGAGGCCCTGGGACCAGGCGAGGAAAGAGAGGGCCCACTCTTCCCTGACCTCGGGGGAGGGGGACCCGCAGTAAACCGTCGTAAGATCTAACGGGTGGGAGGAGGAGGAGGAGGAGGAGGAGGAGGAGGAGGGGGAGGAGGAGGAGATGGACATGGAAATGGTGAGTTTGCGAAGCGAAACAGATTCATGCAGGTGGGATGCGGCCTCTGGCTTGTTGCTCCGACATCGCGAGAACCTTTGGCCAGAGCCGATCGCCGATCTTGTTTGGACATTATGTGCGTGTCTGTTTGCGCTTATTCGTGCATGGCCTCCTTAGGTCTGGAACGTTTTGGGAGGCGAAAGAGCCACAAGACCCACAGAGCCAGATATCAAGATCACCGTGAAATCAAAGATCGTGTGTGGAGTGCAGACACCCTCCGCACAGTGGACATTCAAACCTCCGGGGACCCCTGTTTCAAACGCGATCGATCGCCACAAGTGGAACACAGGGCGCCTTAAGACATTTGGTCGTTTTCTGTTTGGACGCGGGCCCTCCGCAAACAACACACGGGCGGCCATCCTCACGCAGGGGCAGGCGAGATTAGGCGAGGACTTCTTCTATCGCATGTTTCGGCCGAGGGATCAGCGATTATGCAGTCCATGGTCGCATGGGTGAGTCGCCTCCGAACGTATTCCGCACGTGGCTCGTGAAGCAACACACTCATTCTGTCTGTCTCGTCCGCACGCGCTCCTCGTGCCGCAGCTCCAGCCAGTTCATCAGCCCGCTCATTACCCTCGGGCATCCCAGGTGCATATCCGTTTTGAAGGCCCTCGACTCGAGAAATATTTGAATTCATGGCAACGGCCACAAGTACTCCTTGTCCCCGTGCGCCGTGCATCAAACTCCTTGTTGCTGCCCAAAAATCGACTTCCGATGCTGCTTCACGGGGCCTCCGATTCACTTGTGATTCTAACCCGCCACGTAGACAAACGATCCACGAGTTCTCTTCAGGATGAGTTCAAACATCGCCAACTCTCCACAATGAACTGTCTGCGTATTGCCTGGCAGCGGACTTCGTCTGCCTCGTCCAAGCACCGCTGGATCACGAGGCTCGATGAAAGCAAAGCCCATGCCAACTCTACAGAACCTCGAACTGTGTGTGTGCGTGTGTCTGGCTGGTCCTCATGAGGCGTACCCGAACGTTGGTACCAGCTCGTTGCAGGCACCTACATCTGTGGGAGAGCGTCTCACGGTGGCGCTCTCCGTGCACCAGACAGCTTGCACACCATTGTTGTTCAGGATGGACTCCCTCGAGCCTCGACCTATCGGCCAAGTTCAACCCGATAGTGATCGCTTGGAGTGTCTCATCTCATGGTCCGCCCCTTCGGCGTCTCACGTAGCCGACGTAGCATGGAAATCACGGAAGCGTTCTCACCCCCCCCCCGCCATACCTTCGCCTGCAAAGTGAGTTGACGCCTCACGCCATGGAAACTTCTGCACTGAATCGGTGAAGTCTGGCAGCATGCCCGTCAGGTCCTCGTTGCCTGTCACCCGCTCGCCAGGGAACTCCCACTCGATAACTTTGGGGTCGGACTCCTCTGGTGAGCCAAGTTACCAGTGTGATGGACTGTGCAACTGCCGACCATACTGCAACAACGGCGTGACCACCGCATCGAGAGGTCCTCGCACATGTCGCGATCGATCTGCTGGTCTCATCCAGCTGAACTTGCGGCCATCCCTTCCATTGCGCTGTTTTTTTCTATCCGCCGACGCGTGTCACAGCGGACCTGGCACTCCAAAGAGGACCCCGACCTGGTTATGCGCAATCGGAAAATTGGGAGCTGCGCACATAGGAGAGGGAGGAGGAAGAGGAGGAGGAGGAGGAGGAGGAGGAGGTGACGGATGGGCAGGAGGATGAGCAGGAGGAAAAGGACGAGGACGAGGACGGTGAAGGAGGAGGAGGAGGAGGAGGAGGTGACGGATGAGCAGGAGGAAAAGGACGAGGACGAGGAAGGAGGAGGACGAGGACGAACAGCAGCAGGAGTTGCAGTGGAAGGAGTGGGAGGAGCAGGAGGACCAGGGGAAGGCGGAGAAGGGGAAATGAGGGAGGCGACAACGATGAAAAAGGATTCGGATCAAGAAGAAATGCTCGCGCTGGAGCGAGAGCGCCATTCTGAACGACGGGAGCGAAGCGCTGATCTGAGAATGAGGCCAACATTGCGGGGGGAGCAGCATTGTGTAACACCGAAAACAATCGGATTGGAAAAGCCATAAGAAACATCAATGTTTGAACTCGTGTGTGTGTCTGTGTCTGTGTAACAAGAGCACGCGGAAAGGGCCGACGATCTTCCGGAAACAATCAGGGGAGAGAGGAGAGAATTTGTAAGTGTGTGTGCGTAGAGAGAGAGAGAGAGAATGAGAGAATGAGAGAATGAGGGGGAGGCATTTGTCAAGCAGTGAGGAAGCGCTTTGGCCTTCCCACAGGTCCACCTACCATCTTGTAAGAGCCTGTCGTCGTATGTGTACAATGTTCTTACCACACTCCTGGTTCAGGCAGTCCTGTTTCAGGACGCCGGCTTTCTGTTCTGAGAGAAATGTTTTGATGTTCGAATTTCATCTTGTTCTGAGAACACTTCGCGGTAGGCTTGCAAGAGTCCCAGGATTGTTGGCCCCTGCGCAAAATCGAAGGAGGACATCGACGAAGAGGAAGGGGGGAAGAGAGAGCGACGAGGATAAAAAGGGAAGGAGGAGGTAGAACACTGGAGCAGGTAGAACACTGGGGCAGAAGAAGTGAGAAGTGGACGGCGATTGCAGGCGCACCTTCCGAGTATGAACGTGGTGAACCTGTCCACCTCGGCCCGACCCGCCGCAAGTGCCTCCGTCGTCGTCGTCCTCGTCGTCGTTCGTGCCGTCGTTATCCTCCTCTTCTGCACCTACTCCTTCTTCAGTCTGGCCTTCTCATTCCTCAATCCTCCTCCTCCTCCTCCTCCTCCTCCTCCTCCGCTTTCCTCCTTTTGTTCCTTGTTATCCTCCTCCTCCTCGTCATATTGCTCCTCCTCATCGTTTTGCTCCTTCTCCTCTTGCTCCCTGCTCCTCCTGCTTCCCCTTTTGATATGATCCTTTTTTGCTTATTTACCCTCCCAATTTGGGGCAGGAGGATACAGGGAATGTCAATTGTGCCCTCTTCAGCCCGACCTCTTCTCTCACTCCTCATCCCCCTCCTGCTACTACAGTACTACTGCTGGGCAGCGGTCCGTTAGGGTACCCGTGCAAAGCGATACGAAGTTTGATGTTGCATGATGGTGAAAATGATTACGGCGCCTGCCTTCCCATCCTGTATATTTGCTTATTTAATCGCTTCGCTCATTCCGCCGGCCCTGGAGCGCTATGTGGGGCTTCTTGGGGCCGTCTTGGGGGCTTCTTAGGGGCTTCTTGGGAGCGTCTTGGGGCTCCTTGGCGGCGTATTGGGCTCCCCTGGGGCCTCTTGGGGGGCTCTTGGGGCCCCCCCATCGGAGGCCACGATCCTCGTGAGGGGTGGCGAAAAATAGCCTCCCCCCTGGGGATCGCCCGGGGGTCAGCCGGGGATCGGCCAGGGTACTTTTCGTCCGGGGCCCCCCAGGGGCCGCCCCCCTCGCGCGCGAACTAGAAATATTGTTAAGTAGTTACCGGAGATCTTAGCACGCCTCTGGCCCGTTGGGCCGGCGAATTTTTGCGTATGGCAATGAAGATATATAGAGCGAGATTGTGTGTGCGTGTTGTTCTTGAGTGCGGAAGGGAAATGCAACGGTCGTTACCTTCTTTTGTCTCTTCCTCCTCGTACTTTTGATTTGTCGAGTGTAGAAGGGGGAAAGAAAAAGAGATAGAGGCAGACTGGCAGAGCGACAAACAGACAGACAGACAGAGGCAGAGACGGAGACAGAGTCAGTGACAGGCAGAGATAGAGAAAGAGGGTAGATGAAGAGCACGATGAGCTTGTCTTCGCGCGAAGCGTTTAGTTACTTGGGCCAGCAATGCTGGATAATCATCTAATGCCATGATGTTTAGTAAAGTCTGCGGGCTCCTTAACCCCCAGCCACTCAGCCTGTGACTCTTCACGCAAGCCAGAAGAAATCAAACAAGTGAGTTCCCTCGTGATTTGATAAGAAAAAGGCAAAAGGTTTCGGGCTGATTGTGCGCATATGAACGGGGGGGGGGCACAAGGCAATATCATCAGTGGCCAGCCAGCCCGACATGATTGAATCAACATGGTACAGACAGCGATAGCAATTACAAGTTTGCTTGTTTTCCCAAGTCGTGCTTACACGAAGGCGCTCTACCGGTTTTTTCTAGAGACGTTGGATGTGAAAGCCATGAGTTCTCGTTCTTGCCCTGATGCCTTGTGGGTGGTGCTTCATGGCTTGTGCTCGGTGATGTCTTCGAAGGTTGCTTTTTCCTGTTCTTGCCTTGGTATTCCATGGGCGACTTGTGCAATCCAAAACCCGGATAGCAGGGCAGCTGCGCACGCGGGTGCGTTCGCGCGTTCCCGCGAGCGCGCACACACGCTCCGTGCGCGCGGAAGCCCCCCCCCCCCCGACCACCACCACCACTACCACGACCACCACCCCGCACGCGCACGCCCCGCCACCGCACCCCCCGGGTATCCTTGCGTTCTCTTCCGGTTCTACTGGCGGCTCACTCACGTCGCAGAGAGGGGGCATCAAGCTCCTGGGAGTGGCAGGCGCCTTGTGCGCAGGGCCCTGGCACCGCCGCCCACAAAAGGGGGATCACCTTCACTTCGCTCACCCGCTGTATCCACTATCGCACCGCTACTAGGGCTCTGCGAGGGCACTTTGCGCTTCTGTCTGGGTGCATCCAGAATCGATGGCAAACACGGGTATCTCAGAGTCCCGAATCATCAGGGGTAACTCGGGTCAGGGCTAACTCGGGTTCGTTTTTCGGGAATCCAAGCCCGAGTTACCCCGGACCCGAGTTACCCCGGATAATTCGGGCGCCCAAGGTATCATTTCCAAGGGGATCCTTGCATCCGTGCCCATCCTTGACTATTTTGAACGGCTTGCCGCGCTCGAGAAAATTTCGACACGGGCGTCCAAGGGGCTTGCACCCTTATCGCGGATCCTTCCTCTCAGTTGCGACTGTACTCGATGGGCGGTGCTCTACGGCTGGTGACCAAGGGTCTCTTTAGTTCGGGCGAAGAGAACTATGCACATGCACCGATCCTGACAAGGCCCATTTTTGACCCAGGATCGGTGCATATGCCTTCCTGGCCAAGGTAGGAGGGCGTATGCACCGATCCTGGGCTCAGGATGGGCCTGGCCAGAATCGGTGCATGTGCATAGTTCTTTTCCCTCTATTAGTGAGGTATCGGTGTTGACATAGTTCGGTGATGCTCTATGGCCGATGCCTAAAAATGCAGTCGATGGTCGCAAGTTATAGTTTTTGCCCTGGTGCCTCGTGGGGGGTGCATGATGTTGTATTGAAGGCCGTGAGCTCGGTTTATTGCCCTGGTGCTCTGTGGTTAATGTTGTACAGTTGGTGCCCTCATGATACTTTTGAAGGTTGTGGTCTTTCTCTTTCGCTCTTGCAAGTGTCCAGTCTGTGGTGCCATGTTGTTGTTGCATGATGGTGTCTGGAAAGTTGTCATGATGCGCTGCTGGTGGTGCTCTATGGCTGGCGCAATATGATGCCTCTGTCGTGCTTGCTGTGGTGTCCTGTGGGCGATGTGTTTGAATTGTCCGATATTTCGCTCTTGTCTTGGTGCCCTCTGCGTGCTGCTCAACGACTCCTGTACGATGGTGCCCGGGTGGTGCTGTATGGCTGGTACCCGGTGGGTGTTTCTGTATGACTCTGGGACCGTGGTGCCTGGGTGGTGCTCTATAGCGGGTGGCCTACGATGTTTCTCAAGCTCACATGCTCTCGCTTTGCATTGGCGCCTCCGTCACTGGACGCCGCACTGCCACTCGGCCTTCTACTTCGATTCTCTGACCCGAAGAGGCGTGAGCATCCCACTCCTCGTGATCCCCCATTGGCCTTCGAGTGAGCAGGGGGAGCACGTCTACACGACACAGCCATCGTCCGCCGCCGCCTCCTCTGCCAGGTCTACCGGTTGGCCAAGCTCGCGTCGGGGCAGCACCAGCTGCAGGCCGAGCTGCAGCACTGTCCCGTGCTGGATCAGCTGTTGCGGACAGCACTCGCCACCCTCGCCTCATGCCTGTCCTCTTCTTCCCTCCTGCTCCTCCTCCTCCTCCTCCTCCTCCTTGTCCCCCCCGCTCCACTACCTCCTTATCCTCCTCCTTGGCTCCCTCGTCATCATCACCATCATCACCACCACTATCATCATCATCATCATCACCACCATCATCATCATCATCATCATCATCATCAGCAGCATCATCAGCATCAGCATCAGCATTATAATCATCATCAGCATCCTCATCCATCATCAGCATCAGCATCATCACCACCACCACCATCATCATCGTCGTCATCATCATGATTAACATCATCATCATTATCGTCGGCATCATCGTCATTATCCTCTTCGTCATCATCGCCACCATGTGCATCATCATCAGCAGCATCATCATTATCAGTTCCATCATCATCATCATCGTCGGCCACCCGGAGGTGTCCGGATCATGTATCATCATCAGTTGCATCAGCATCAGCGTTTTTCCAGCATTATCATCATAAGCATAATCATTATTATGATCACCACAATCACCATCATCATCATCATCGTCGCCATCATCACCCTATCACACCATATCAATATCATCACCACCACTATCACCATCATCATAATCATGATCATCGTTGCCGTCGTCTTCGTTTTCTTCGTCGTCGTCAGCGTCATCGTCGTCATCGTCACCATCACCATGAACATCATCAGTTTCATCATCATCATCATCATCATCATCATCATCATCACCGGCCACGACGACAGCCGACGACGACGATGACGACTGCGACGACGGACGACGGTCGACCGACGACGACGACGGACGACGACGACGACGACAACGACGGACGACGACGGCGACGACGACGCCGACGGACGACGGCGACGACGGACGACGACGCACGACGACGACAACGACGACGACTACTTTGACGACGACGACGACGACGACGGACCACGGACGACGAACGACGACGACGACGACAACGTCGACGGACGACGACGTCGACGATGGACGACGGACGACGGACGAAGGACGACGGACGACGACGGACGACGACGACGGACGACGGATGACGACGGACGACGACGACGACGACGACGACGACGGACAACGACGACGACGCACAGACGAACGGATGGATGGACGGACGAAGGGTCGCACGACGACGACGACGACGACGGGCGACGACGACGACGTCGACTCCGAAGACGAAGGACGGACGGACGGACGGACGGACGGACGGACGGACAGACGACGACGACGGACGACGACGACGACGACGATGACGACGACGAGGACGACGACGACGAGGGCGACGACGGACGACGACGACGACGACGACGACGACGAGAGACGACGTCGACGGACGGACGGACGGACGGACGGACGGACGGACGGACGACGACGACGACGACGACGAACGACGACGACGACGACGACGACGTCGACGGACGACGACGACGGATGACGACAACCACGACGCGAAGACGACGGACGACGACGATGACAACGAAGACGACGACGACGCCGACGTCGACGACGACGACGTCGACGATGGACGATGGACGACGACGACGACAACCACGACGACGACGACGACGTCGACGACGACGCCGACGGACGACGACGACGACGACGACGACGACGACGACGACGGACGACGGATGACGACGGTCGACGACGACGGACGACGGATGACGACGGACGACGACGACGACGTCGACGATGACGAGGACGACCACGACGACCACGACGACCACGTCGACGACCACGACGACAACGACGACGACGGACGACGACGACGACGACGACGACGACGACCACGACGACGACGACGACGACGACGACGACGACGACGACGACGACGACGACTGTCGACGACGACGACGACGCCAGTTTGGGAACGCCAGGGGAACGCCAGCTGGTGGGTGTGGCACACCATGGGCACAGGGTGAGGGCCTTTCCAGCACAGACCCGCCTAGCGGATGACCACGGCGGAGTTTACACAGTCCTCTCCCTGCTTCTCATGTCTCCCCCCTGCCTTTCGTCTACCTCGTCGTGGTCATCATCGTGGGTGCTCCTGGCCGCCGTCGCCGGGGGCCTTGTGAGTACAGGTGGCCCCGTCGCAGGAATTGTGTGACAGCGGTCTGCTCCTCTCCCGCTCTCGTGCAGAAGGGCCGCGCCCCAGGCTGAGCCGCCTGCGGGCCATGTTCGGGCATCGTTGGGGCAGCATCGGGCTACAGTGGGGGGCCTCATGGCAGCATTGTTCATCGGCCCGTGTCGCTGCTGGCCGGCTAGTCTGGATGCCGGCTCACGGCGTGCAGTCTGTGATCGGCGTGGCCTGGAGGTCCGACGCACGCGCGGGCAATGCAGCGGATTGGAGGGCCACTCGCTTGGCGGACGGCCTAGCCAAGGATGCAGCTGCCTGTCCGCAGCCGTGGGGTCCGGCCTCGGGGCTCTTCAACATGGCAAAGTCGGCGGTCTTGGACGCAGTCACATGCGCCGCGATTCACCACGAACGCGTCCCGTGTGTCCCAGGCTGCGCCTAGAGGCAGGTCACAGTGCGCGATTCCGCTGCCGCGCGGCGCCCGCGGGCGAGCCTTCGCGCGGCCGCCCCGGCGCCGCGGGCGCCGCCGCCGCCACCGGCCTTGGAGGAGCTCGTGCTTGCAGCGGCGGTGGCCCGCGCTGGCCCCCGTCCTGCGCCAACCCCCGACCGCGCCGCTGCGGCCCGCGCGGCGGCCGCTGGACGCGCCGCCGTGGACGCTGCCGCTGCGCGGGCCATCTGCGAGGCGAGGGCTGCGTCCGTGCGGCCGTCGTCGGCCCCGCCGGCCGCCGATCGGCTGGCCGCGCTGCAGACGCGCGTGCTTGCCCGCGTTGGCCGCACGGCGGCGCGGTAGCCGCCGCGCTGCCTCCTCCTCCTCCTCCTCCTCCTCCTCCTCCTCCTCCTCCTCCTCCGCCTCGAGCTCCTCCGCCTCCTCCTCCGCCTCCTCCTCCTCCTCTTCCTCCTCCTCGTCCTCCTCCTCCTCCTCCTGCTCCTCCTCGTCCTCCTCCTCCTCCTCCTCCTCCTCCTCCTCCTCCCCATCCTTAATTCATTGGAGGCCACATCGCGGCCAGCTGGGTCCAAATGCTGTTGTCCTTTCCCCTCTCTTCTGTTTCGTGTGCAGTGTCTTCACCACTTTCTCATTCCCTCGCACGTTGTTATCTAATGGCCTTCGGCCCATCCCGTCACGCCTGGGTTTGTGGGCATGAAGCCTATTGAATGTTCGTGGGGATTTGGTGGGAGGCCTCTCGGGGGCTTCTGGGAGGCAGTTTGGACGCCTCTTGGGGGCCGTTTTGGGGCCTCTTCGTGCCTCCTTTGGGGCCTTGGGGGCTTCTTGGGGCCTCCTGGGCTTGGGGGCCTCTTGGGACCTCTTGGGGGCCTCTTGGGGCCTCCTGGGCGCCTCTTGGTGCCTCTTGCAGGCCTCTTGGGGCGGAAGCCTCGGATGTTCGGTTCGTGTTCCTTCTCTTGGGCTCCTTTTGGGACCGTATGTGGGCACCGTCTTGGGGCCCCCTGGGGCTGTTGTGGGATCCTTTCGGAGGCCTCTTGGGCCGTCTTGGATCGGTCTTGGGGGCAT